CTTTGGGGGAAACTTACTAAGCTTTGTGTTTATAGTTTTGGGTTATGTTTCAGGTACCTTAGATGATCGCGGGAAAGCGAAGGCGTGATCGTGCACCTCCTCGAGTTTTGTTTTATGATTTTGGGAAAAACCTGATATTAAACATCTTTTGAGAACTATTTTGTAAACAATGATGATTTGTGGATTAGTATTAAAAGTTTAAAGTTTTCATTAATTTTATGGGTTTTACAAACAAATCTGAATCATGATTACTCTAGACAAATCCAAGAGAGGTAATCACTGTGGAGAATTTATCAAACCAAGCACGAGGTACTTGATTGAGACCATACAAAGCTTTGCGAAGCTGACAAACCTCACCCAGCTAGTGTTGAATTCCTGGGGGAGGAGACATATAAACCTCTTCATGGAGGTCACCATTCAAAAATGCATTCTTGACATCCATTTGAAAGATCTTCCACTGACGAATGGATGCAACTGCAATCATAGTACGGACTGTCATCATCTTTTCCACTAGGCAAAGGTCTCCTCATAGTCAAATTGTACTGTTGGGAATACCCTTTTGGTACAAGCTTGGCCTTGTACCATTCAACAAACCCATCAGCCTTTGTTTTTATCTTGTACACCCAACGACAACCTATCGTATGTTTCCCAGGAGGAAGGGAAACCAAATCCCATGTATGAGTCTGATGAAGAGCAGTGAGTTCCTCAGTCGTAGCATTCTGCCAAAGAGGATCTAAAACAGCTTCTCTATACAATTCAGGTTCAGACATGTGATGAATGATTGCTATAAATGAAGCAAATGGTCCTGAGTATGTAGAGTAAGCAAAATTTGGAAGCTTGGTCGACTTGATAGGACAAGTAGACCTCCTGATGGGTGGTGGTGGAGGTGGATCTTCAATTTCAACAGTCGAAGGTGCAGACTCAAGAATAGGATGAGTCGAGGAACTCTCTGAAGAAGTGGGTGTGTCATGAGCTAAAGGATCAGGTGGCATAGATGGGTCTCGAGCCTCTATCTCTTCATCAAAAGGATCAATATGCAGAAGATCTGACTTCGTTACATTGTGGGTTGTAGCAGGAATCGAGTAGAAAGGAATATGTTCCAAAAAGGTAACATGTCGGGAAACATATAACTTCTGACTCACAAGATCATAGCAACGATATCCTTTTTGTCCAACACCATACCCCAAAAATACACAAATAGCATATATTATGGGCTACATTAACCCTAGAAATTTTCGATCACAGCTCCGCCCCGAACCCCGGACGGGGGCACACTACTACAAAGTCTTCTAACAACATATCAAACATCTGTTTTAATACCATGATAACAATGTCATATGATTATGATAGAGAGAAATTACAAGGATCTCAATGAAAAACATAAAAGCTACAAAGAATAAAGTGAAGAATAAATACTAGCAAGATAAAACCCTAATTTGTTATAGACTAAAATGCTCATAAACATGTGGGCTAATAATATATAGGGTTACAGTAAGAAAAATGTTCCTGATAATATGTTCCTGATCAATATTCCTAGATTCCATAACGTAAGAAACCATCAAAATAAGAAAACATGTTCCTAATAAATATTCCTTATAGGTGAAGATCAACTTTGATGTGTTATGTCATCGTCAACACACCACTGACTGATTGAGGGGGAATTTGGGGAAATTAGAGGGGATATTGAGTGTGGGTATCAATTAAGACATCTGATTCATTTAATGATACATCGACATGACACTATCAATTAATGAGTTGGCAAAGATTTAAAATGGTGTGACAGTCAACATTACTGACTAGACAAATCATCGTTGAGTAACTTTTTCTAATATCTTATAATGACCCTTTTAGCACACGAAAATAGACTTTAATCCCCTAGACTACCAAAAACACATTACGGACCTTTTAAAATAAAAATGAAGAGTTTATAAGGCTAGTAGGCTACGGTGACATTATCGATATCTTTAACTTTTGGTTGTTACTATTGCTCAAGTTTGTACTTCCTTATAGGAGATCTTAAATGGTGATTGCTTCAAGACTCTAGAACTTTCAACATTGTTAAGTATATGGATTTGTTTCCTAGTTAGTTTGTCAATTAGTAGGTATATATCATATATTTTGTCAATTATCTATCGTGTACTTCAATGACCCATGTGCACAAGTTACGTCTCTACATTTATTTTTTAATTTCCACAATGCTCATGATGCTAGCTTTGACTTCAGGATGTAGATAATTAGTCTATTCACGCCAGCCTCATTCTACTTATTCTTACAGTCGGTTCTTCTATTTCATATATGAAATAGAGCGAGCGATTCTGAATTGATTAAGACAGCAATAAAATTGTATGTGGTAGCAAAAATCAACTTGTCTAGAAATAAACTAATTTTAAATCATCATAAAAACACCACGCACTTTTTTTTTGCCAATTTTCCACATGATATAGTCAAACGTTTAGGTGATATATATATATATATATATATATATATATATATATATATATATATATATATATATATATATATATATATATATATATATATATATATATATATATATATATATATATATATAGAGTTAAGATCAAATAAGAAGGAAATTTTTGGTAGGAAGGTAAGAAGTTTTTTTTCTACATATTTTTTTCGCGAACAAACAAAATGAATCATTAGATGATTCATTTGTAAGATGATTCACAAGAAAAAATTCTCAAAAAAACATCTCGACGATTCATTTATACAATGATTTTGTTGTTATTCACTAAAATTGTTATAAAAATGAATTTTTTTCTTAATTTACTTAAAAATGAATCATAAAGATGTTTTTTTTGGAATTTTTTCTTGTGAATCATCTTACAAATGAATCATCTAGTGATTCATTTATTTTGTTCGTCAAAAAAATATGTAGAAAAAAACCTTCTTACCTTCCTACCAAAAAAAACTTCTTACCGGATCTATATCCTATATATATATATATATATATATATATATATATATATATATATATATATATATATATATATATATATATAGGCTTAGGTTATTGTATTCTAATTAATTATTGTATAGATGTAGCCATGTAGGGATGAATGTAGGCCAATTGTTTTAATTGTTTTAAGTAATGATTTAGCTATCTTTAAATTATGAGACATATGTCTAATTACGAAACATATGTTTAATTAATGAAAATTTCGGATTTTACGGGATGTTGAATTTTTTAATTTTGATTTTTGATTTTTTTTAACTAACATTTTTATTTGTACTCAATTTTATTTTTTTAGAATGCAATTTTGTTATAACGATATTCTATGACAATGCCAGAATATATTCTGATAGAGTACATATTTTGATTGAAATAACTTCTTGTAGAAAAACAATATTCTTGAATTTTCAGTTGAAATATAATATGATCTTTATATATATTCAAAAATTGTAATGTAGATATAGATTCATACATATTATTATAGAATAATAGTTTAAATAACATCCTTAAATATAATATTATTGAACAAATAGATTTGATTACTAAAATTAATTAATAGATAACATTAGAAATTTACCTTATTTAATTAATTTCTAAACTATCTTGCCTAAATTAAAATGATTAATTAAATATTTATTTAGTTACTAAAATTAATTAATAGATAACATTAAAAGTTTATCTTATTTAGGTTTTGAAATAATTGATTCACATTTGATTTTTATATCCATGCACACAATAATTTATTTCGAATACTCTCTCTCTCTCTCTCTCTCTATATATATATATATATATATATATATATATATATATATATATGGAAAAGTAGGTATTGAAAAAAAAAAAAAAAAAAAAAAAAAAGTCAACATTGGAGTTCAGGATATTAATGTACATTATGTACGGATGGATATAAATTGAGAAGAATCAAAATCAACCAACAGTGTTTAATATTAAATTAGGAGGAGTGGATCTCAAGAATATAAGCATACCTTCGCTAACATAAATGATAAACCCCAAACCAAAACAAACTAATCCCTTGAACATGGTAAGACTTATTCTGCCTAATAAATAGTTATAGGAACAAACTAATATCTATGTATGTGAACTCTTATATTAGAATAAATCAAAATACTATGATCAGGCAAGTGGCTTTGTTATTAATTAAAGTGGGGGGTTTTATGATGATTTAAAACTAGTTTATGTCTTTTAGTTTAAAATACAAAGGAAGATACCCTTTTCAATTCATTGTTCCTAACCTGGATATCAAGTTAAAGAAATGACTATTATCTATGCCCTTTTCATTGTTGCTTCTTTACAGGTTCCGGTAAGTATAAGGGGATTAACATATATAAGGCCTTTTGCTAGAATATACAAAATGTTTGTTGTCTTGTTAGTTTCAATAACTTGTGAGATGTATTTAATATTTCAGAAGTGAAATAGATGAATTGAGTGCTAGAATAAAAATATACATTCAAGTCCAGACACGCTAATCTTTTACATATATATAAACCCAAAAGTCAAACATGGCATATCATTAAACTTGCACAAGTTAAAAATATCTATGGAATGACGGATCTTGGAGTAGTTCAAGGTGCAAGTCATTGTATTACTTGATTTAATTAAGATAAGAGACTGCATGTTGATGAGTCATTGAAGTACAAGATTGATACGTGATAAATTATTAAAAGATGATCCGTGCCTTAGTATGTAAGATTACTTGTGTAATTTATAAATTTGAGATACACACAAAACTATGAAGGTAGAGAGAATTTCCTATTTATTAAAACAAATAATGAGTAACTATATAATAAAAACTAAAATGAGAAAAAAAGAAATCACTCCACCATTGCCTTGTTATGTAAGATTACTTGTGTAATTTATAAATGACAAAATTGCAAAAATGGTCCCTGTGGTATGCAAAATTTTGGGGTTTTAGTCCAAACCACGAGTTTTTTGGATCCATGGTCCTTTTGGAGTGGTTCCTATGCGGTTTTGGTCCCTGGACTTAACTCCCGTTAAGTTGGATCTGTTAAGCCCCCTCACGTGCCTCACACGTGAGGGTAATTTCGTCATTTCATATATTAAGGACCATTTTTGCATAAACGCTTTTTGGATTAATTGATATTTACCTCTCATTTACTTTCCCCAACATTCGTCAACTCCCCAACTCCCTCCTTCTTGCTTCTGCTCCATTGAACCTGCAAAAAACCCTCGTTGCTTATCCAAACAAGATAATCGACACTACACATACAAGGGCATACGTTTAATACGAAATAGTGTTCGTAATGTGGCACATCAGACCAAAACACGAAGTTGTTGATGTATCAACTGTATATAGTAAGTTGCTATGTTTCTTTACCTTTTATACTTTGCATTTTCTTATTGATTTAGAACAAAAAAATGCAAAATTTTGACTTTGTTAATATGTACAATTTTGATTTTTAGCTGGTGCACCCACATGGTTTAGTATTAAGCTTCATCACAGTGAGAAATTTACTAAGTTACCTGATATAAAGTACATTGGAGGTGAAGTGTGTTATGTTGATTATGTGGACATTCATGAGTTTTCTGTGCATGAACTTGATGCCATAATGCTTGACCTAAGTTACCCAGACCCACGGATGATTGAATTGACCGATGAATCCCCAGTGATATACTACCATTTCAGGATACCCAATGGTGACTTTCAATTTGGTCTTAGAAATTTAGGGAATGATCAGGATGTGATCAACCTTTCTAAATACATTGCACATAACAAGCTGATTGAGGTGTACACAGAGCATGGAAAGACAAATTTACTGACTTACTTCATATCACCAAATGCAAAGGGTAAAGTTGTCATTGAGGAATTACCATAAAATGATGATCAAGAGGCATAGTTGAGGGTCAAGTTCATGCAGATTCTCCAATGAAAAATGTGAACCATGGTAATGGTGAGCCTATTGGTGAGTTCATGTCTCTGATTCTTTTTAGGAGTAAGAATGATAGTTTCTCACCAGAGTATAGAAGGGGTAGGGTTAGGAATTCCAATATAGGTGAAAGTTCTTGTAGCAAGAGGCTTAATTTAGATTATATTGATGAGGGTATTCACATTTCAAAGGAAAAGAATGATGATCAGGATGGTTCAACTGATGTTCAGGAGGCAGCAACTTGTGTTCTTATTGATGAGATGGATGGTGTTAGGGAGGCTGCAACTATTGTTCAGCAGGCATCAACTGTTGATGAAGGATGCTACAACACCCCCTGTTAATAATGTTGATGAATAATTGAATGAGTTATTTGATAACCTTATGGAAAATTTGATTGGGAGTGATGATGATAATGCAGAGTATGAAGGTGATGGAGAATCTGAAGAGGGTAATCAAGAGTATGAAGAGGATGATGAATCTCAAGAAAGTGATCCAAATTTTGAAGAGTATGATGAATCTGAAAATAGTGATCCAGGGTATGAAGAAGATGAGAGACAAATAGAAGATGAAGATCATATGGATGACATAATGGATGTTGACAACAATATACAAGATGTGGATGTGGACATGGGAGACTTCACTCTCAATGTTGAAAGTGATGTGGAAGGTTCGTGTATAAATGTTGTTCATGGGCATGAACCTGAAGATATGGAAGTGATCAACAATGAGGAATTTGAATCTTTGGATGAAGGATTTGACCAAGATAGAGAGACAAGAGCTCTTATCAAGAATCTAAGAAAAGAAAAAAGGTGTAGTCTTGGGGCAGTACATAAACAATCATTTTCAGTTGGAGATAAATTTAATAGTAAAAAAGAATTAAAGGAGGCAATCGATCTGCATGCACTAGAATCAAGAAGGAATCTTTTCTTTTAAAAAATTGATAATGTAAGGCTTAGGGCACAGTGTAGGGGAGTTGTACCTGTCACCAATAAAGGCCAAGTGGGTAGTCAAGCTACCTCTTCAAAAAGAAAGGGTAAAGAATTAAAGACACAAAAAGTAACATGTGGTTGGTACATTCATGCATCTAGGTCAAATCCTGAATCCGACTGGTTTATAAGGACCTTAAACCAAACTCACACATGTTTGCAAACAAGGAAACTCAGGGCTTGTACTGCTTCTTTAATCAGCAAAAAAATCTTTGATCAAGTTGAGGCGAATCCATATATACCTTTGAGAGCCATACAAGATCACTTTCAAAAGACCTACCAAGTGGGTGTTACTATGGACAAGGTGTTCGAGGCAAAGGGTAAGGCAAGAAAGCATATAACTGGGGACTACAAAAAGCAGTATGAACTGTTAAGGGACTATGTTCTCGAACTTCACGCCACCAACCCAGACACCACACTGAAAATAGATGTATGTTCTGAACCTAACGCTGATTCCCCAACCAGGCAGTTTAGAAGAATTTATGTGTGTTTGGGTCCACTGAAAAAAGGGTTCAAGGCATGCCTTAGGGACTTATTAGGTTTTGATGGTGCCTTCATGAAAGGACCATTCCCTGGGCAGGTCCTTTCAGCAGTTGGTCTTGATTCCAATAATGGAATTTACCCATTAGCATATGGGATTGTTGAGTCTGAAAACACAGAAAGTTGGAAATGGTTTTTAGATTACCTTGGGGATGACTTGGATCTTGGAAGAAACTCAAATTTTACTTTCATAAGTGACAGGAAAAAGGTAAAGCTTTATACATTTGGTCATTTAAAGTGTGGTTTTAAATTAATTCTAATGATTGACAATTGATTTTTGCAGGGTTTACATACTGCAGTTGAGCAATTATTTCCCAATGCTGAGCATAGATATTGTATCAGACATATTCATGACAATATGAGGAAAAGATGGAGGCAAACAGAGTATAGGGACCACTTATGGAGGTGTGCATCAGCTACCACCATTCCTGAGTTTGAACATTTGATGAAGGAGTTTAGTCAGTATGATAAGGAGGCATGTGAATGGTTGAAACAAATTCCTCCTAAACATTGGGCAATGAGTCATTTTTCAGGTAAATCTATATATTCTAATTTGGTCCTTATGTCTTTCACTTAGTGAACTGTTTTACTTGTATGTGAATTGTATTAAATGTTTTTTTAATGGTAATGTACACACAGGAAGAGCAGTTTGATGTGTTGATATCAAACATGTGTGAAGTGTTTAATGGGAAGATGGAGAAAGGAAGGGATAAACCTGTCATTGGATGTTTAGAATACATAAGGGAGTATCTAATGAAGAGGATATGCAATGTCATGAAGGAAATGAAAAAGGCTAAAGGTCCACTAACACCCACAGCAACAGGCATCCTAGGTGCAAGAAAAATAGTTGCTTCACAATACATTGTTAGGTGGAATGGGGGAGACAAGTATCAAGTCACAGGAGCTTTGCAGGATCAACATGTGGTTGATGTTAGGAACAAAACATGCACTTGCAGAAAA